ACCGATAATTCCACATCGGACGGACCGAGTGGAAACATTAGCTCGGACGGCTATGGGTAGTGCATTCTTCCGAAGGATCCTAGAAATAATACCCACAGCAAAGCTCAAGATTCCTCACTTTGATTCCTGCAAAGGAAAGAGTTACACGACCAATCATCTCGCTTTTCTGGTGTTGTTGTAGGGCGTATCAATTAACCAACTTTAGGAAGGCATACTTTAGGGGTGAGATTAGAAAACTATTGAAAATTTTAGGTTTGATAAATTATGATGGAATCAAAAGGAAATTGGAATGATTTGTATTCGTTGAATTTGAGTTTAATTTAAAAAAAAAATTGATTTGAAGAAGTTTGAATTGAAGGCTTTGATTTGAAAAGTTTTGAGTTTGAAAGTTTTGATTTGAATAATGTCAAAAAATTTTCTTGATAGAAGCCGAGAGCCTATTCTTAAGATATATCTAGATCCTATAAGGACACTAAATGTATGGACTAACTAAAATTTGGGTATGAAATCTACAGTCAAGATACTCAAGATTTTTTGTCATCTCAGATTCATCAATACCCTTACACTATCAACCAATCCAATAGTCAGTGATCTCCACTATTATCATAGTGATAACAAGTGTATTTCTTATTAATTATAGGTGGTTAGATATGTTTTCATCAGTAACTCCTACATTGCAACACCATCAGCACCAGCAGCCACCACTGACGTATCAATACCCTTCAACAATGCAATACTAGCCTATGCGACCTTAGGCTTTGGAGTTACTAGCGGTGTAAATGAGTCGAGTCGAGCTCAAGCCACCCCCAACTTGAGCTTGCGCTTGATTAATTTTATAGAGTTCAAGCTCGAACTTAATTCTACGAGCTCAAGCCAAATCACAAGTCGACTTGTTTATTACAAAAGAGAAAACATAATATTAATTTAAGGAGGTGTTATAATAAGATGACATGAGTAATTAGAATAAGAAATTACTTAATATAAAATATAAAATTTAAAGTATTATTTTTTAAATATTTTTAATGCTTTAAAGATAAAGTATTCAAATTTAATATATTTTGAGTATATTTATATTTAAAAGAATAGGCTCACAAGCTAACAAATTGAGTTGAGGCTAGCTTGAGCTTGACTTGTTAGCTCATCAAGCTCTGTTGAGTATATTTATATTTAAAAGAATAGGCTCGCAAGCTAACAAATTGGGTTGAGACTAGCTTGAGCTTGACTTGTTAGCTCATCAAGCTCTGTTCACGAGCCACTTATCGAGCCAAGCTCGAGCCGGCACACGAGCTGACTTGACTCACTTATACTTCTAGGAACAACCCAGACAGCTTATTCCACCTTGAGCATTTGTTATGATGCAACAAGAAGCTTGAGAAGATCATGATGTATTGGCAGATGTAACATTTATTTTATAACAAGTAGTAATGTTATTTTTTTTCTCTCTTTTATTTTCTATGACATCACATTAGTTCATAATATTTTCATCTAATACATTAATTTATTCATTATATTTACATCTGACAATCATTATGTCATATGTCTCATATGTGATTATTACCCAATATGTTCATAATTGTGATATTATTATTAACAAAATGCATATGTATGTTTCACTTATTATGTTTTCACTAGTTTAGTTTGATGTAATAGTGAGTATGAATTTGGGGATCAAATTCTTTTAAAGATGTAGATGTAAGATCCAAATTTTTTCTTTCTTTTCTTTCTCCCAACTTCCTCTTTTGATCGCATCAATCACACGATCACATAGGTATCGCAATCCCACTCAATGCCATCTTCTTGATTTGGTTTTCTTTATGCAATCTCTCATAATGATTCCTTTCCTTTTCCTCTCATGCAACTTTAACGACTCTCTACCAACTCTTTCAACTTTTTAGGAATGATTAAAACCTAAGGTATCGTCGAATCGCACCTCTCCTATAGTAGTCATCAGGACTTCTCTCCACAACCATTAAATTAACTTCTTTATGCAATCTCTCATAATGATTCCGTTCATTTTCCTCTCATGCAACTTTAACGACTCTCTACCACCTCTTTCAACTTTTTAGGAATGATTGAAATCTAAGGTATCGTCGAATCGCACCTCTCCTTTAGCAGTCATCAGGACTTCTCTCCACAACCATTAAATTAAACATTCCCTTCCTCCTTCCACAACCTTAGTAGCAGCTCTCTTTCATTACTCTTCTCCTTCCTCCTTTGTCTTTGTAGCCACTCACTTTCTCTTCTTCTTCTTCTTCTTCATCGACCGACCAAGTACATTCACAATGGTTCCCAAAGTTTCGTCTCCTTATGCATACCAGAAGTTGGGAATCCCTTCATTTCTGATCATTTGTAATGTAATAGTCTACCTTTAAAATCACTTGTGACATTTAAAGCATAATTCTTATAACAAATATTCATCATAATCATTTCATATATCACATGCATGAATCATGACAAATAAATACTTGTAAATAATGATTTCATAAAAATGTTCATAAGATTCTTGAAATAATAAAATCACATGTATCATAAGAGAAAATCAAATAATATTCATAAAATCAATGCAGGTAATCATCCACAATATACAAAAAATTTTAAAAGCAATAGTGTCAAACATGAAATCACATTGAAGCTACAGAGATTTATTTTTCTTAAGTTAGCACATGATTATTTTACCTGGATTGACGAAACAACCATACAATAAGTTTCCCTATGTTGGTTTCGAGCTCGTCGCCTAGTGTAAACATCTTAGGATTTTACTTAAGTTAGCACATGATTATTTTACTGGATTGACGAAACAGCCATACAATAAGTTTCCCTATGCTCGTTTTGAGCTCGTCGCCTAGTGTAAACATCTTAGGATTTTATGAAATTTTGACTCATTTATTGATTTAACCAAAAACATAACTTTTAACCTCAAATGGGTTCTCGACATAATCAGTCTTTCACCGAGACTTCTTATTCTTCTTTTTATCGTTGTAATCCTCCCTTATCTTTAAAAAAACTCACAAAGTCGTTTCCAACTCAAGCTCATCTCCTACTACGGATACGAGAAACAAAAAAGTGTGTAGATTCATTAAAAACTTATCGTTGTAATCCTCCCTTATCTTTAAAAAAGCTCACAAAGTCGCTTCCAACTCAGACTCATCTCCTACTACGGCTACGAGAAACAAAAAAGTGTGTAGATTCATTAAAAACATCATAATGAAAGCACAATGAAGGAGTGAAATGTCACAATTAGCGTGAAAGAGT